TACTTCACATGCAACATAAGCATCCTCTTATTCATATCATATAACAACACCAGTTAAGGTAACATGAGACAAATAGGAAGTGAACATGGAACGAAGGAAATAAAAATTCATAATAATTTCATGAATATAATAATTTTAAAAACGATCGAAAAATATATCACTGTAGTGATTAAATCAAATATCAATTTAATTAATTAAACTATTGCTTTACTTAATTTTTCGCATAAAATTCAAGTTATAGACAGACTTAACAAATTAATCTAATGTACATCAATACTTTTACATAAAATTTTACTTAATAGATGGGTAAATAGTTTTAAGTTTTGATGTATAAAATTAACCTAATGTGTGTACTTATAAGTTTTGTTATTGTTGTGAGTGCATTGCCCCTGAGTAGTCTCCCACTACTTTATTTCGCTCTGTTGTACAAACATTACACCGCAGGCTGCTGCCTTTCCCTCGAACGACAGCGAGAGCGACATTTCGTATATGTAGTAGGTATAACGTGACATCGCACGTGACTTGCTTCAAGCAAAATAACGTCTGTCTTACACATAGTTATTATCAGTATCTATAGATATTATAGATATTGATGAAATTAATAAGAAAATTCTCAACTTAATTCTTATAAATATACGTTTTTTTTTCTTTCCATTTCCAGTTTTTTATTTACCCATTTATCAATACAATGTGAAATTCATCATCAGAGGTGTTCCATAGTGTTAATTAAATATTTACATCTATTTTTAAAAATTATTAAAAATATGTATTATAAATATCTATTTCATAAATTTATTAATATAAATTTATGAAAATAAAAGTAATGTATTTATTTAAAAAGAATGTATAATTAATTGAATTATTTTAAGTTTATTTACTATTAAAATGTAGTATAGTAGACAAAAGGCATTTTTATACCTCCACATATACCTTTGTGAGATTTTCATTTTTTCTCACAAAAGTCCTCATTTTATTATGTAAATTTTTTTTATCTCCTATCTAATGTATTTATGTGTATATGTGTGCTTAGAGTACAGATAGATTGGTTATTGGTTTGCGGATTCGGGCGAAAGTGCGGCACGCGTGGGGTCATCGACCGGTCGAAATTTCCGAAGCTTAAGAAAAATGGCCATACGTATGTATATTCATTTATAAATGTATGAGTATTAGAAGAAGAAACATCTTTTTATTGATCATTATTCACTTGGTAGTAGAAGTCGTTTGTAAATCATGATGATTTACTAATATTCACCTGGATTGGCTGTTGAAATGAGTTATTTCACAATTGTTACATTGCTCAATCAAATATTAAATTTTCGGTTACATGGAGTTGAATAAACGTATAGTGAAAAATGTTTGGTTACAAAGATAAGATAAAAAGAAAAAAGTTTACTTGGAAAAGGAATAGTTACATAAACAAAATAAAGCATGATGTTAAAAATAATATTTAAAAGTTAATTTAATAAAATATTTGTAATTGCATAATTTACGTAGTCAATGATATTTTTTATTTCATTATTCTTTCAATTGATTATTAATTGCTCTTAATTAACGAAAGATAAATATTAATTAATGATTGATTTAAAAGATGAAAGAATTAATTTGAAAGGAGGAAAAATGAATGACATCATAAAATAAATGAATATCAAATACACTTATTAAGTATTATATAATTTGCTCCAATAATTGCTGTGATACTTATCAGCTGTAATTGGAGTTGAATGAGTCATTGTTTTATTTAAACAGTTGATTTGAATTGTACAATATAGCCTGATGATCCTGAAGAAATTAAGCTGCACCAAGTGTGTAGAGTTCAGTGACCTGAGGTTAATACTTGGTAGTGGTCAGTGATGGTAACAGTAATGGCTATTTTGTTTCACTAAAACATAATTCTGAGAAATTACAGCAATATAAATAAGCTATTACTATTGATCACTTCAATATTTATAAGTTAAATTAATAAATATAATAAATATATACATAATTGATACTTTCTTAAATTTTCATTCAAATACAATAATTAACAAAAAATTATTAAAACCTACAGCAATAATTAATAAATTTATTTATTAAAAAAAATTTTTTTTCAATAAATACTTGAACAATTAATTGTTTTTTTGATTATTATTCAAGATTAATGAACAGATGATGAAAATTTGAAATTAAGATTGAATGAAAATATGAAAATATCTAACTAAATAATAATACAAAGTAATAAATTTTAATAATACGTAACAAAATATTATACTAAACGATTGAAAGAGAAAAAAAATGAAGACAAAAACAGGGGCAATTCGGAATAGCGTGCACGACCTAATTTCTAACAGCTTGTATGTATTATATGTACACGTATAAACGAGATCACACCGTACGTGAAATAACGGAGTTCCAAAAACCACGCTGGCCACTGCCACCGTTACTGGCCGCGTTAGAAATAAAACCAGTTAAAAACTTTTTGACTTCTATCCCATATTATGTTTTTCATAATTCATCAATATTTCTCTTATTAATATTGATTATCAACTAATACCACTATTATCATCATTATCTGTATCTATAATCATATCACAAGTGGTTAAATATTTTTACTCAAATTAAATAAAAACTTTAATTTCGATCGTATATGTACATAACCTATGAAATATTTTATTTAACACCAACAATTGGAAAAATCATTAATTGATAAAAAATTCATCAAAATTTTACATTAAATTGGATTTTCAATAAACGAAAAAGAAATAATAATACATAATTTGTTGGTACTTTCAATGTAATTAATTATGCTCTAAATAAGCCATATCTTATTAATTATAATGCCATTAATTTTAAAAATGATGAATGAATTGATAATGTTCAGAAAAGACTGGTAGTATTATCATATGATTTCATTTGAGGTATAATTCGTATAGATTACGATTGACATGAAAAAGAAATTATTTTGTTTATTCTAATAACATAACTTTTAAGATGATGAGTAATTGAATACATAATGTTTTGTAAATTGCAGAAAACGCATCTTTCAGGAGCATATTTTAAGCTATGACACAATTACACAAAAATGAAATTTTTCATCATTGAGTAATGTTTATTTACAAATAATGGACAACATTTCAATTATTTACTTACGTAACATTTGATCTTTTTTTAAAATTAATTTTTTTTTATTTAAACAAAAAATTTTCTATAAATTATTCAATTCATATTATTTTATGACTTTAGTAATATCAATTGAAGAATTTACTTTTGCATGAACAAAAAATATTTTTTCAGACTTTATTAAATCAATTTTTGTCATTGACTCTTTAAATTAGATTCATATTTAATTTTTTTTGCTTGATCCAATTATTTTTATCTATTTATTTAAGTGGAATTATATTTATCTACAGGGTATTTTATATTTCGATAAATAATATTTTCCTTTTCCTCATTTAAAAGAATTAATTACTTGCATTTCTCTAATAAATTGAGTTAAAAATTAGATACGAACGAAAAAAAAAAGAAAAGAAGAAAAACGTCGAATAAACAATTTTTAATTGATAAATTGAAATAAAATAAAGCATAAAACAAGTATTTTCTTTTTTATTATAAATACAAATAATGAAAAATTTTTTCATTTGTTTATTGCCCTTCTCTTATTAATAGAGTTTAGCTAATCAACTAATTCAGGTTGCAGGTGCATATATACGAGTTATAGAAAAGAGAGAGAGAGGAAGAGAAAGAGAAGCGGAAATAAGTTCAATAACCTACGACGGTTGACAGACGAGATGGAAGTATTGGCGAACACGACCAGAAGAATTCGACGCACTCATTTCATACTTGGCTCAATCGTATATATATATATATATATATACACCTTTATAGTAAATATATATTTATGCATATTGTTTTATACATCTTGAAAAAATAATCGTCTATTATGCATTATGGATATTGATCAATTAAAATTTTCTTTTAGAAATCACAATAAATAAAAATAATAAAATTTTTCAAGTGTAGAGACATACATAATAAGAAAAATAATTGAATCATGGAATTTTTTTTATCTCTTAATAATGCAATATTATTGGTAGAATATATATCAAATAAAAAAAAAACAAACAAATAAACATAAATAGTATAAAAGATAGAAGAGGAAAAAAAGAATAATTTCGTGAACAGATACTCGATTACGTGAAATAGAGTAATATAAAGAACATAAAAAGTAAGTTTTTTCATGAGTAGAACATGTACAACCATTGTGCGCCACATGCGCGTCTGACATATGTGTCTGTAACCACTTGTTCGTACTTGACAGAGCATACACATAAACACAAATTTTTAAGCATGTGCTTAATGATTATGTCAACGGACTTATGATTGCAGTATTGAATAAAATTGTTCTAGTTTTTCTTATAATGAAAATGTAGAAACTTGAATCTTCTCAATGTCTTTTCTTGACGCTCGTTAGATCAAAAATGATTCACGCGAGCTTTTTAGTCAAATACTGAAAGTTTTGAGACATTACCAAGTGTTTGCATACATAGTTTAACGTATCATCTCCCCCTCTCCAGTCATTAATAAAAGAAATGTTGCGGGTTTCTGCAACGATAATTCCACTTACCGAATCCCACTGCCTGCACTTGCGAGTCAGCGAGCTTAATCGGGATCCACAATTTTACACTGGCTGCCACCAAGTCCGTACGATTGAGCAGCATGAAAGGGGATAGGATAACAGTGGATGGAAGAGGGTAAGAGGGAGGGGAAAGGAGGTTCACCTCGGTAGGACCCGCCCTCGTAAGTCCGTTTTGCCGGTTTTGCCGATGTATGACCTATACTTCCCCTCTGCCGTTACTATCAATTGCCAACATGTTGATCGTAGTGGCACATCCATTCTTACACCGCCCTCTCCCCCCTCCCCACTCTAACGTCAACGTCAAACACCCGCTCCATAAGCCCCACAGCTGATGAGTCACTATATAAGACAGCAAGGACAAGAAGGTGTATGTTAGTATACATTCATTTCTTCTGGCGGCTTGTATCGCCCAAAGAACCATCACTCGGTCGTACTTAGTGGCCCACAATTCACCTAATTTCCCGCTCACTCTATCGAAATTCAACACTAGCTGATATTTTAAAATTTTTCCTCAATTCATTTCCATCTATTCTCTTATCTCTTTATTTGTATTAAAGCTTTACCTTTCAATTGTCATTATTATTTTATTATTCTATTCAATTATTATATTTAACGAAATTGTGATTGTGATATATCGAGATTTGTCCAATATATTTCTGCTTCATCATTCAATCTTTTCCTAAGAAAGAAAGAGAAATAAATTGTAAAAATGTTAGTGGAACGCGCGATACAGTGGATATGGAATTGTATTGAGAATGACACAATGAGAAAAGACATTCTCTATAGTCTTGTGGTATTTCTCGTTGTTATTGGAATAGCCAGATCAATTCAGTGGTACAAATATCTCAGAAATTTACCACCTGGACCTTGGGGTTTTCCAATATTTGGCTATCTGCCTTTCATTAAGGGAGATGTTCATCTTCACTTTGGGAGACTTGCTGCCAAATATGGATCCATGTTTAGTGCAAGACTTGGCAGTCAACTTATCGTTGTCCTCAGTGATTATAAGACTATTCGTGATACTTTTCGAAGAGACGAATTCTCCGGAAGACCTCACACGGAATTTATGAATATTCTTGGTGGATATGGTAATTATATTATTATTTTTTTTTTTCGTTTTACTTACATGTGAATTTTAATTTAAAGAACCAAAAAATATTTAAATCAACATCTTTATAATATTATTAATATCATTATCTTATTGATTAATTAGGAATCGTCAACACTGAAGGTGCAATGTGGAAAGATCAAAGAAGATTTCTCCATGAAAAATTGCGCAGCTTTGGAATGACTTATTGCGGAAATGGACAGAAAAAAATGGAATTCAGAATCATGGTAAATTTCGACAAAGTTAAACGAAAAAATAATATATTTTGAATAAAAAGATTATTTTAATGAATAAAACTGATGAATTATTTGTGCTTACAGAGAGAAGTGGAGACATTAATTCGTGGATTATCACGGAAATGTGGAGCTCCAGTGGACGTTTCTCCATCACTTGGAATGTCAATCAGTAACGTGATTTGTTCAATAATCATGGGTGTACGATTTAATCACGGTGATTCAAGATTCAAAAGATTCATGGCTCTGATTGAAGAGGGATTTAAATTATTTGGCAGTATTGTTGCTGTTAATTTTATTCCAATAATGCGATATCTTCCTTGTTTACGTAAAATTCGCAATAAAATTTCACGTAATAGAAAAGAAATGGCAGCTTTCTTTCAAGAAACTGTCGATGAACATCGATCTACCTTTGACAGTAAAAATGTTCGAGATCTTGTGGATGCTTATCTTGTTGAAATTGAAAAAGCCAAGGCTGAGGGCAGAGAAGCGACACTTTTTCAAGGAAAAAATCATGGTTCGTATCAATAAATAACTGATAACTTATATTATATTTTATTAAAATTGTTTTCTTTTCATATATATATATTTGAAAAATTAATTATTACTTTTCTGTAGAATCAACTTTCACTATCGTAATATATTTATTTAATAATTTAAACTTATATAAAAGTTGAAAATTATATTATAAGAAAATATTCTTCATTTCTGTTACAGATCGTCAAATGCATCAAATTCTTGGAGATTTATTTTCTGCAGGAATGGAAACTGTTAAAACTACCCTAGAATGGGCAGTAATTTTAATGCTTCATCACCCAGAGGCAGCAAAGGCAGTTCAAGAGGAACTAGACCAAGTTGTTGGGCGATCTCGAATGCCTGTACTTGAAGATCTTCCATATCTTCCAATCACTGAAGCTACTATTCTTGAGGTCATGCGGAGATCAAGTATTGTACCTCTTGGAACAACCCATGCTACTACTCGGTAAGTTTTATTCTAAATATTTTGTTAACATTGTATCAGTATTCTAAAACACCCCATAAAATGAAATAATTGTATTAAACGTGTATGATAAAGTCCTTTTTTTCGAATGAAAATGATGTCGTTATTTTTTTAATTGGTTCTTTTGTTCAATTCATGCAGAGAAGTAACACTGAATGGGTTCACAATACCAGCGGGAGCACAGATAGTACCGCTACTTCATGCAGTTCATATGGATCCGAATTTGTGGGCTGAACCAGAGGACTTTCGTCCTACACGATTTCTTTCTGTTGAGGGTAAGGTCTGCAAACCCGAATATTTTATGCCATTTGGCGTAGGTAGACGAATGTGTTTAGGTGATGTTCTTGCCAGAATGGAGCTCTTTCTATTCTTTAGTTCACTCCTTCATACTTTCGATATTCGATTACCCGAGGGCACCTCTCTACCGAGTTTAAGAGGTAACGCAGGTGTCACTGTTACACCTGACCCATTTAAAGTGTGCCTAATCCAAAGACACCTCGACATTTCGGATTTTCAACTCGAAAAAGTTTCAAATCCATTGCGAAATGTTGGTAGTCACTAAAAGTTGTATTTTAATTCAAATATTTTGTAAAATCATGTATAGTATTTGTCTCTTTTATTACATTTAATTTAAAATTATTATCATCATCATTATTATTAAATTCATGTTCATTTACATCATTATTATCATCATCATCATCATCATCATCATCATCATCATCGATACCATTATCAAATCAAAGATTTCGTTATTACTAGACTTTGAATTCTCATCATTTGTCACACACATATACATTTCAACATTGATTCTGGAAAAATGCTTCTAATCTTCACATGTAAATAGATTTTTTATATTTCAAGAGAATCAACTGTATCAAAATCATTTTTAAATATCAAGTATTAAGAATCGTAATTCATTAATATTATTTTTATAAAATATAAATAACCAGTCGAAAATACGAAATTGTCGAATAACAATGAATTACGTGTACACAATTTCAATAATTTAAGAAAAATTAAAAAGAATAAAAAAAAAATAGTGCCACATTATAATATAATTAATGATTATGTTAATTTTCTGTATAATTATTTTTATTATAATTATGAAAAAAAATAAATTATTATGTTTAAGTAGTTAAACCGACAGCAAATGTAATGCATAATTGTAATGGCGTGTCAAAACAGTACAAAACAACACCAAATTTTTGTCAGCGCCTTTCAAATTAACTTTAACCCGCCGTTCATTTTATTTATTTATATCGACAGCTCCGGAATAATAATGTCGTTTACCTTAATTTATTTTTAGTTAATTATTGAGTCATTTATTAAAATGATGCCTTTTATAAGTCAAACTATGTGTTATGTATGTGTATATATGTATCGTACATTTAATATAAAACTAAATTAATATTACGATCACAATATATACACATGCATAAAGTTATAGGGAAATACATTATAAAATGTGTGATATTCAGCACTTCGTATTGCAGGCAAATTGGAAGTGAATGTAACAATGTGTTTTTTGTATTAAATATTTTATATTTATAAAAAAATACTTATTAACGTTTATTTAATATTAAATACTAGAAGTGCATTATAGTAAAAGAATCAATTGGGATTAGAAAAAAGAGAAAGTGAGAGAATTTTTTAGTGATAGATTTTTTAAATCTTATTTATGTGGATACTTCATAAAATTGTTTTTTATTGTGAATTTTTATATAAAAAAAAATTTGAAAAAAAAAACCAATTTTGTTGTGAAAGACGATGCGATATGTGTATTAGAAATTTTTTAATAAAAAAAACTTTTTTTATATAATTTATGAATATTTTATTATTCTATTGGACACTAAGTATTTTGTGTTGCAAAATGAATCGTTTTATCCTATTTCTCTTTTTTTCCTATTTAATCTTTATAACTCGAAATAAAAAAAAACAGCGAATGTATCATGTGAATGTATAAATTCTAAATTACGATAATACTATTTCTCAATGAGTACTTTTTCTAAATACCAAGTTTATAAAATTTTCTAAACTCATGTGATTTATTTATTGTCCAAAAAACTATTTATTTCATATTTTAATTCTCTTGGTAAATTTTTTATTATTAGATATTTATCTTATTGATGCTCATTACATACATAATGAACAAAATTAGCCCACCCTTCGAGAAGGTCGTGATGCAGACGCTTTTTCCGATTATTTATCATCACTTCAAGTTCAACAGTCTTTTTAGTTCACTGACCAATCTTATCAGAACAGTGAGGTCAAACAATCTCGTAAAAGCATATATGCTCGTTTGATTTATCATAAAGTTCAATACTCTCATTACACGATCAGAAATTTTAGGTAATTCATTTGACATAGAAATCGAAAAATTTTAAAAGAATATCTGCAAAAGTGTATCTGATTGCATATGCTAAAATTTCGTCAATTTCAACTGATACAATAAGCAAACTAGACCATATGAAACAGAATATGTTATATTAAATTTATTTAAAAAATAATTAGAAGGAATTTTTCAATTAAATAACAATTTGATCCATCAGAATACTTGTCAATTACAAAATAATATTTCAATTTCTTTTCATTAAAATATGTAAAACATTTATTATTATAATAATTATTACTATTATCATCATTGTAATTAGTAATAATTATATTTATTACTGTTTTCGCATTGTTTTATTAACATACATATAGTTTATCATTTACATATCATTAAAAAATGTATTTAGTTTAGTCAAATAATTTATTTTATGAATTTCAAAGAAAAAAGATACAATTTCAATGTTATGTAATGGAAAAAAATGTTTTTCAGGAATAAAATGATGATGGGAAAATTTATAAATGTGATAAAATTATTTTTATGCATGCGCAGTTGAAAAAAGAAACTGATTTGGACAATCACAGTCTGAGTATGACGTTAATAAAATTAATTAAAAAATAATCGATACATCTGAATGTATATATATATGTTAAGTTGATTAAAATGGACTGTTCCAAAATATGTTGATGGGGGATGTAAAAAGTTATCTAAGTGCATTCATTGTAGTCATGATCATATGTATGTATATGTATATAGTAACATTTTCATCACTGTTTATAGTAATTACGTAAGTACTATTTTTTATTATTCATTTTTTTACATTACATCAAATAAATCAAATGTTTTGATAAAAGCAATTCTATTCATAAGTAAAATATTTTAGTTTTAAAAATTGAGAAAAATTTAACTATGAATCATTATATTAATAAAAGATAAGTTATCAATGAACAGATAAATAATTATTAGTTATACCAAAATACGGAAGTTCATAAACAAATGACAATTATCTCTATAAATTATTGAAATTAATAAGCCGATTATAATAATGATCGTGATAATTTTAAATAATTAGTCAATTAGTGATAATCGAAATATGAGATAATTAATTGGTATTTCTTGATAAAAAGTTGAAACGATGATTCTTGGGTACCAGGGTAATACCGCAAATGCCATCCATATCAATATTCTCCCCTGGAGCAATAGAAATATGAAATTTTTGTAAAATACGTGCTGCAAAAAGAAATAACATCATTCTTGCAAGTTCATCGCCAACACAAATTCGTTTTCCCGTTTGAAAAGGCATAAATGCCAATGATTTTAATAAACTGCCATCAGATGTGATAAATCGATAAGGATCAAATTTTTCTGGATTTTTCCAATAAGTTGAATTCATATGGACTGCCCATTGCAATGGAATTATCATCGTGCCTTTTGGTATATCATAATCTTCTATTTTTCCGTTTGCCATTGCGCCATGTGGAATACCCACAGGAACGACACTTCGTAATCTCTGCACTTCACAAATAGCCGCTTCAAGTAGAGTTAAAAATTCTCGATGTTTTAGAGCAACAAGTTCTCGATTATTGTTTGTAGCAACTTTTATTCTCTGATAAATATTTTCCTGTAATGATAAGTGATAATAAAGTATCAATATTAAACTAATCACTGAATCATGTCAAGTTCATGTCAAAAAAAAAGGTAATAACGAAATTAGTAATTGACGAAAAATTTTATTTTATCAGGACATTGACTAATGCATTATAAATATCTATGTATAGATATATCTATATATAAATATATATATATATATATATCTATAAATAAATATATATATATATATAAAGATTATTCGAAAAAAAATTACTTTTTCATTTTTTTACAATATTCAATAAAAAGAATTTATTTTTGAAACTTCTGAATCTAAATAGAATTCAAAACGTTTCGGGTAGAACCTAAATTTGATAATATGAAATTCCAAAGAATAAGTATAACTATAAAAAGTGGTAAAATTTGATTATCATATACGTGAAATATTTCTATAGAATGAAGATAAAAATAACTCACCTGATTTTCGGGGAAGATGGCCATATAGAGTAAAAACCATCGAATAGTAGTTAATGTTGTATCAGTACCGGCACCAAAAAGATCGGCCAATAAATGGTAGTATTGTTGTTCGGTAAATGATCCTAATTGACAATTATTCAGAATTCTGTTCTTCATTTCAACATTAAATGCCGCAAGGAAATTATCAGAATTTTTATAGTTCATTTCTTGTTTTTCCTCGTATTCTTCAATTAGCTTTTTATACAACTGATGAGTTTTCATTTTACCATCAATAAGGGAGCTCATTGTTTTTTTAAACTTGACAAAATATCGAAGGAATGGTAAAAAATTAAAAGGTCCCGCTACTCCAATATGTTTCACGCCTTCTTCTTGTAAATGGCGTAACCATTTCCATGTTTCGTCCGATTCATTATAAACTTTTCCAAACACCAAATCATTCATTATATTGCCAACACAATGATGTAATATATCAAATGGTTCTATTCCATTGTCATCTGATCTTTCTTCGATCATCTAAAATTTTTATCTTATTTTAATAAGACATCAATTAATGAATAATTATAAATTTAATCTTTTCGTTGTTCGTAAGTTTATTCAATATTGTTTTGACATATAATAAAAAATAATTTTTTCAGAATAAGCCAAGTTTTTTAATCATATTATTAATATTAAGAATCGTTTGTTAATAGACGAATTTTTAAAAATAATATTTATATATATTGTCAATCTGAATTTATTGGAATCACTTCAAAGTGTATCAAATTAACAATTTAACATTAAAAGTACTTGAAGTAAATTTTTTCAATGCGGTTTTAAAAATTAGATATTTAAAGTTTAATGATCTCTAGTAGCAAAATCAATGTAAGGTTAATGGCAGACTTACGTATGTCGGCTTAAGTTTGTTATTTATATATGTATTTGCCATTTTCTTATAGCAGACAATCGTGAGATTTTATTTGATACAAAATGGAAACAGACGTACGTAAGTCTAACGGAAATTCTTGCGTCAGGGCAGGCTACCAGGGATGATATAAAAAATTAATGTCTAATTAATAGCTAAATAAAATGTACCTTTATTGCTTCATTTACGAAATTTGTAATTTTTAGTTCCAATTCATCTCTTTTTGTTCCGTATTTCATTACCCCTAAACTTTTAATAGTAGCTACAACGAACTTTCGCTGTTCTTTCCACAGTTCTCCTTCCGAACATATTATTCCTGTAGAAAAATGATATTCGAAACAATTTAAATACTTTTATTACCCTTTCAATTTCTATACTGTTCTATAAAAATTAAATTGACGAAAATTTAAAATTTCGATATTTTTTGTTATTTTCTTAAATGATAACAAATATAAAGTAAATAGTCAAGTTATTTATAACGATATTATAACACATATATATTTTTTGATATAATAAAGTAAGAATTTTAATTAATAATGATTATTATAGCTAGTATTAGGTATCATCAAATAATATCTTTCGAATTACATATGTGATATTGCACATGAAAGAGAAATAAAAATAGTTGGATTAATTATCGTATGTTTAAATCTCATTCAACCTTCGATAGTTATATTGAACGTTTTTATATTTAAAGAAGACTTAACTATGAATTGTTCAATTGATATAAAATAATCTCATTCAATCATGTTAGTCAAAATAATCAAACTTAGTTAATTTTATTTTATGATATTTCATATATGTTCATAATAATTATCGTAGTCACTAAAAAATATTAATGTTACAATGTTTATTATTATCAAGTGTAAATATTTATGTTTTGTAAAATGTTTTAATCTTTATAATCATTTTTGAATTTTTTAATTTGTATCAAAGTTTAAAAATTCATTAATTTATGCATATTAAATCTAAATAGTTACTTTGTTTAATAAATAATTTAATAAAATTTTATTCGTATTTGAAAGAAAATTTGAAAATAATTTTTAAAATCTGTTTTTCAATTACACGTGGTTAGCGTTGAGCTACACGTCTTATGTTCTCATTCAAAAATTTTAATATGGTACTTTCACTTTTGGTTTGCTTCCGAGAAGGGCATCGACGATTAACTACAACGGTTGCATCTTGAAAAGGTGCTTTAAGATTTATACAGCATATTTACATAAACGATATAATAAAGAATGGAATTAAAAAAAAATTGATTTTGTTGCATTTTTCAACTGATATTCAAATTGAATTTTCAAACATCATCAAGTACTTACCATATCCATTAAACATACCATGAGTTACGTAAAGAGGTGCACGACCAGCGAATTCATCTCTAGATAGAGTTTGACGAATTAATTTTGGATCTGAGAGCAAAACAGTGTAAACTGATCCCATCCATAAACCGCAAATTGGTCCATACTTTTCTGTTAATTGAGTTAAAGATTTATGAGGTGTTTTAGAATCAATCCATGGCAAATATCCAACTATTGGAAGTCCTCTCGGTCCTGGTGGTAATTTTTGTGTGCCTTTTTTTATCAATTTTCCCATTATTAATGTTAAAATAATAATAATCACTGACGAATAAACTATAAACATTTTTCTAAATATAACGAAAAGTAACTTTCAAATCAATTTTTGTATTTTCCTTTAATATTTATATTAAACTGAATAAAAATTTGACTTTTAATTCTATAAAAATCTCTTATAATAATATATTTTACTTAAAGTTGATTTCAAAAATCTAAAAAGATAAAAATGAATATAAAATGGTCTCGTCAACTTGTACAATGTCCTAAATAAAATTCTTCAAGTCAGTCTTCTGCTTTCTTTAGGTCACTTCAGGTAAAACTATCGAGGATTAGGACGATTTGAGCGCTCTTTACGGATATCTTACGAAACGATAAAGTATAATTTAATTTTTTTTTGTTTTACTTATTTTAAAACTTAAGAAACAACATTGAGCAACTTAATGAATTATACAGTAACTGATAAATAAAATATATTTAATTTAGCATATGTATGTACATTCCGTCTAGTTTTGAAATAGATAAAAATAGATAAAATAGATAAATAGATAAAAAATTGTAACAGAAATCAAATAATACTGTATACTCTACAGAAATTTGATCAAGACGAAAGATATGAGTCCATTAGAAATGCCAACGTGCGTAACTAAATGATGATTAAAATATTATTAAAGTATCATAAAGATGTTTCTTTGTGTTAAGTATAATATAATTACAAATTATACAATCATAATGACAATAATTTTTTTTTATACGACTAAAATCACACTATATTTAAATAATTTATTTTAAAAAAAAGTAATTGAAAAAGAATATAATCCAAGTATGGTTTTAGTTAGTTCATCCACAAATAGCAAACGATGATCGTTTCTCAATGATTGCCTCGTTTCGGGAACTAAATATACCTGCACAAAGCTGTTATTTATGGCCTCTTCGAATCTCCGATCACCTATGTTATGCAGGCCTCCTCTTTTTTTTCATCCATTTCTGTATTTTTCGTTCTCACTCAATGTGATCTAGCTAATCTACAACTCTAAATATTGCACAGCAAACTATTCATGTAAACAGCGAAAGTCGTTTTAACAACAGTGCGAATTGATAAAACACTACTTACTTATGTGTTTTTAGCATTTAATGATAAGTATCTTATAGTATATCCGATTAAACAAATTCTGTACCACCTCAGTTTATTTTATTCATACTCATTATTTTTTTTTTCTTTCTTAAGCATTAACTGAACGACAATGCAAGCTATGTTAGAGAGTTAACAAAATGCAGGATGTTTCAATACAAGGTTCATTCTCTTTTTTTCATATTTTTTATTTCCTTTTTTTTTTTGTTTTACATATAAAGGTACACCATTCACGTATATACTGGCAGACGATCTGAAAGTCAACTTCTATATTATATGGCGATTTCTCTACCTGATAGCCTTTCTTCCTCTCACCATCACTCGTCACTCTTGCTCATATTTTTTTTTCTTTTTCTTCCTTCAAGGTCTTTCACTATAATAATTAGCAAATTTTCAAAGATAATTCAACATTTAAATTCAATATGATGCTTTTCTTTGGTCAACTCTTTCGCTATTCTAATCTGCATACTCACGTGATTGACGTTTATAAATTTAAAAATAAACAAAAAAAGAAAATAATTAATGTGTTAATAAATAGAAAATAATTATGATAGATAATATTTGGCAAATTTTCCGGTCAAGTCGTTTATACGATCGTCCATAAGAATGATAATCATTCGTAATTTTTATTTCAAGTTAATTTTTTTTTTTCCATAGTTGTATAAAAGAACATACTCTAGAAAGGTTAAAGAACCTTTCCCCACTTACCCTCTTGACGTGTCCTTGCAAGGTGGAGATACAACAACGACATCGACATGATAATAGTTGCTGTCAGTGACCTGTGATCATTAACCCGCGCACTTTAGATATCACATTTACTGACGAAATGTGATTCTGCCAGACACCATGATACATAAATAGTTACTTTCTATTTATGGAATAAAAATAATCTCATTGGGATATCCCATTTAGACTTTAGAAATCTTAAAACTTAAAAAAAGTACAAAAGAATACTTATAACCAGTTTGTTTTCCACTAAAATCTATCAATTTGACATTTATTGAGTAAATATCATTTCGAATACATTTTTAACTAATATATATCACGTAAACTTAACTAAGTATACATAATTTACTTTGATTCCTTAATGTCACCTTTATGCAACATTCAAAGATGAAATCTTTCAGAATAAATATTCATTTATTCCTCCTTTATTATTATGACTAACAACTACTAATTAGAGAATCATAATTAAATTAATTGTCATAACTGAGTTCTATAATCGTTCAAATTATTCCTTTTTTTACAATTGACCTATTTTATTAATATTGTAATTATTATTATTATTTTTACTATTTATTAAGAAATAAATAATTTACTATGATGAATATTTGATAAGGAATTCCTGACAGAGAGAAAGAAAGAGAAAGAAAAGTATACTGATACATAATAAAAATTTCATAGCAATGGTTTTCTCAACTGAATACAATTAATTTTTCTAAAAAATATGTAACAAATAAATAAAAGACAGTTAATATATAACAAGTAGATAGTTTATTCAAGTCCGTCATCAGAAGAATAAAAAAAATAAATGAAGGCGACGACGAAGAACCGGTCCAAGGCAAGCTGCGTTCTGATAACCCAGTTTCCTTTACTATCGTTTAAATCTCCTGCACAGGCTTTATTCATATCACATTTTGCACTATATATTGATGTTCATATTTAATTAGTTTTTTCTACCCATTTATTATCAATTATAATAATAAAATAATATCCCATATATACTAATGATTATTTATAAAAATTTAAGAAAGATTGATGTCAAAAAAAAAGTATTTTCATAATTGTTTAAGGTCTATCAACGCTCTTTTCAATTCACATAGTTCAATGAACTTTGATATCGTCCACTTCCACTTACACTCTTCCCTTTTCTTTTTATTCGCATACATGTATATGTATATACTAGTATTTAGTTACACTTACGTACTATGTACAATTATTCAATGAAGTAAATATACATTGTGTCTTATAGAAAGGATCATTAAGATCGATGATATTCAAACTGATGTTAGCCTGATTACTTTTGAATTCAATATATGCGACATTGGGTCAATGTACTCGAAAGTTAGGGCTTTCTCAGCTGCTTTTTATTAATATATGATTCGACACTTTATCTCAAAATATTCTTCTATTGAAAATTTCTAATCCAAATTTATGGTAATTGTTGATAAATTATAATGATAATTTAAGTAAATACAAATCTATGTTTTTCATGTTTATTAAATTGACAAATTTTATTCAATTAGCATTATCTACTCATTTCTTTTTTTTTCAATTTAAAACAAATTAATCCTAATGGGTATTTGCTTACTTGAATCTTAATTATCATATTATTAATTAATAAAAAATAAATAATGTCATGAACTGTGTTGCGATAATTGACTAAAATTCATATTCTTAAATAAATAAATAAATATTTGTTCTACATCTTTTTGCGTAGAATAGATAAAAAAAATAATTATTCATATTTAAAAGATTTATTTAAAAAATACTGTTATCAATTGATGCTGTTAAATATCACGCAATAATAAGGGCATATATTAATTAAGACAAAGGATATTCTTTGAAATCATTGACTCTTATGGTTGATTTTTCACAATAACGAAATGTAAAAATTGTGATGACCTGTTTTACCTCAAATTTTTGTTTCGGCTAATGCTATTCTGTACCAAAACGATCCTTAGTTGATGTGGGGCTGCGTAAGTAGTAGGTAGGTGAATATGCTTATACGCTTATTTATAACTACTACTTATAAAGCGGTAGACACTTTCACTCTCACAGGTGTATGACCGCCAGCAATCGTACTCACCAGCCTCTACGGCACACTCTGTGAGTTTGAGAAGACCATGCCAAGCCAGTCATCAAGGTGTTCCATAAATAAAAGCACGGGCAACCAAGTCTGCTAGATAACGGCCCAACCCGTACAAATGCACGTTCTCAATTGACTGATTATTACAATAAGTGTAAGTCATGTCATTTCCATTATAACAACTCATTATCATGTTTATATAATTCAATACCGTCTTAGCTTATTGAGAATAACTATACTAATTTAAAACATTTGTAAATATTTTACAAACATTTTTGTATTGACTATACCGGCACTTTATTTCTTTTTCATTTCGAAATAATTTCTTTCTCTTCCTATTAATTTCGCATTTCGTCTGGCGCTTGATAGGGATAAAATTATTGTCTTTCCTTGGAACTTGATTTGCGTAGACGAAGTTGAAATAAGTCCGGTTAGAATTTAGGCTACAATCAATTCCCACCACCAAATCTGGAACCTGATTGCAGGTTATTGAACTTAAAAAAATATGTAATAGGAAAAAAAAAAATCAAAAATATAATTATGTATTGATTTTGAAAGAAAAAATGAATTGATTATCTTTCATAGATTGTCTCGATTTATCAATAGATGACTTGCAATTTTTTATGAAAAATTATTTTATCAAAGATTAATGAGATCATAATTTATCTATGTTCATTATTTTTATTTTTTATCAATAACAATCAAACTTTTACAAATAGAGTTTTTTTGTTAATTTACAGTCCATCAATGCACAGTTTTCAAACGGATAATACTGTCACGACTATTATTCTTGACCTGATTACATAAACGAATTACTCAAAGTATATCTATACTTGAAGATAATAAAATTTCAATCATTAGATCAATTTTAAATAAAATAAATGTTGTATAAAAAATTATTTTGATATTGGAATAATAGATTAATAACAAAGATAATATAAGTATTTAAAACTAAAATTATCCCGGATGTATTTTTTAACACTCATTGTCTTTAAATAAAACCAGTTGAGATAAAAATTGAGAGTAGGTAGAAAAATAGATATCACCTATCTATGGATTCCTACTGTGAAGGTAAGACAAAGGCGTTCACATATGCATACATATAATAGCGTTAACATATTATACAAGATATTTATAATTGTGAAACTCACTAAATAATAAGAAAAATTTAGAATTTTATTTCAAGTCATTTATCAGAATGTATATGGCAAATTATTTAATCATTTCCATTTTAATTTTATACTTGGGTTCTTTGTTATCATCTTTACCGTTAACTAATAATAAAATTGATAACTTTGAGCGATCAGCAGATTTAAATTCAAACTTACGTGTTGAAAGTTATGATCAAGAACAAATAAGTAAAAATTGTTATATGAATTTTTCTTTTTTTCTTTATTTGAATCAATAATATTGAAATTATTTACAGTAAAAGATATAAATCATTGGAGTGACAATGATAGTTTAAATGTTTGGGAATTGAGTGGTTTGTTTGAAGGTGATATAGTGATCAATGATGTCGATACAAACGTCATAGCAAAAAATGGTTTGGTGAATAAAACAATGCAATGGACCTATGGTATTATTCCTTACATGATTAATTCTGATAATTTTGGTAAGTCAATAGTTTATAATAACATACTAGTATCTCAAGTCAAATAATTGTTGAAAATATTTCAGATGAAAATGATATTGAGAAAATTCAAAAGGCTATAGCAGAGTTTCACTCAAAAACATGTTTAAAGTTTAGACCGTACAATGAATTTGACATAAATTTTATAGTTTTTCAAGCTGATGGCGCTGGATGTTATTCTTCAGTCGGCAAACAAGCTCAATATCAAATTATAAATCTCCAAAAACCTAATTGTCTTAAACATGGTACCATTGTTCACGAAATACTTCATGCAGTAGGATTCTATCATCAACAAAGCACATTTGATCGAGATGAACACGTAAAAATTTATTGGAATAATATAAAAAGTGGTAAAGAACATAATTTCAGAAAATACACTTCTGATATAGTAACAGATTATGATGTTGGATATGATTATAAAAGTATCATGCATTACAGTAGTAAGGCTTTTTCAAAAAATGGTAATATAACTATTGCTCCGATGAAAGAAAATACAATAATTGGGCAAAGAAAAAAAATGAGTAAAAAAGATCTTTTAAAGCTACAAATTATGTATAAAGATGAATGTGAAAGACGCTCTGAATTAACAGAAGACTTTGATTTTCCACTTATCATTATTAACTAAACATTTGTTTTTAATTGTTTAATGACAATAAATAAATTAATGTTTTCCATCATACCTTTCAATTAACTGTCATTTTGTATTAATATGTGTACATGTGTTTGATAAATTTTCAATTTCATTAATAGTATTTTTGGCAATCTGAAAATAAAAAATATTATTATTTATTTATATCATAAATTACATGAGTAAAGTAATGCTATTATCACGAAAACTTATTCAACGAACATTTTTTATATTTTCATCATCATCATTATCACCACTGTAATTAGTCAAAGTTTTTATTGCACTCTTTAATGGTTTCTCCCAAATAGTTTTAAAGAACTTATATTCAAATTTGGCTAATAATCGTAGAAAAGTACAGGTTCTTGTTTTTAAAATAGTTTGATGATGAGTTAAAAGTTTGATTAGTTGTTCAATTCGCTCACCTACGAAAATAATTAAATTAAAAGTAGTTAATTTAGGTTTTATATAATATTAATAATTCTAAAAAAAATAACAGTAATAACTAAAAATTCTCACTCGAACTTTGTGTACTGAATATAATTTTCTCTACTAATTGTCCATTTTCAGGTAGTAATCTTAAAATATTATTGAGAATAGCTAATAAATCTGCCACAACTCGTGGCTTTCTTTTCTCTAATTTAAAAACTTGATGCATAAACGAAATTTTATTTTTCATACACATGGTATGACAAAATTGTTTTAAAAGTTGCTGATTAGCATAAACCAATCGGCATAGTAAAAGCATAGAACATTCTAAAGCTTGAAGTTGATCTGGCGAAAGCGTAGCCGTACATTGTGAACTGAAATTATCCACAGTTGTTTGTTGACTGTTTTGAGAATTTTTAGTAAAAATAATATTCATTGCACATATTAAATTTGGTACAACTTGAGTTTTACAGTAAACTTTTTGAATTTTTACTATATTTTCTTGAGAAATTGAAATTACAAATGGCAAAGATAAAAGACAGGCAATATATTCTATCACTTGACTACTAGCTGTCATATTTTTCAAAGGTGATATAAAAACAGATACACAAGTTTCTTCTATAAGAGATCCAATTTCTCCTTCAATAACTTCTTCCATAGATCGCTGAAGAAATGCAACCCATTCTTCGTTTTCTATATACTCATTTATGGCATTACAATCTGAGAGTTTTTTGTATTTTTTTGAACATTCAGAATCTTTATTATTAGGTTCATACTTTTGATTTGATTTTCCATTTATCACATTATAATTTATGTTTTGATGACATTCACCATTATGTATATCTTTATTAAACTGTTTATTATCGATATTATTGAAATGATCATAGTCTTCAAAATTATTGAAATTATTCAATAAATTGTTAACATTGTCAACATTCTCTTTAGACGATTCGGGTAGCTTTTGTTGTTGATTTGCACACGCACTATCAAGACAGTTAATTTTGTTAAAAATTTCATCAGCAGTAATGAGATCATTTTGAAGAGATTCTCGAAGACTTAAGTTACCAAGTAGAACGTCGACACTAGAATCCGAACTGCTTAGTAGTGCACTTTGATATAGACTATTGTAGTAAGCTGTTTTGCTCGAAGGATCTTTATGAATAGCAGCAATTGGATATCGTGGTTGAGAAATGAACGCACGATAATAATTATCATCATCTATCTCAATATTATTTTCTAATAACCGAGATTTATTTACTGATCTCATAGCTAAGTTGTCAAACTGTCGTTGTTTTGCACGAGCTTGACTAGCCGATAATGGGGTTGTAAAGGATGTTGGCGTAGCTTCGTCAATAATTAAAATTCGACCTTTTACAAAAGAATGCTGTAATAATTCTGGCCAAGTTAAACGTTGTGATGGATCTTTTTGTAATAATCCCTTGTAAAAAATAAAATAGTCAACTTTTGAAACAATTCTAAATCATAATAAAAAATATTTTGTAACAATATAAAATAAATTATTTTACCTGTAAAAAACTTTTACAACTGTCAGAAATATACTCTGGCCATTTAATTGCTTCAAAACGAATCAAGCGAACTAAATGAAGAATAGAAGTAGTTTGAAATGGTGGACTTCCAACTAACATTTCATAAGCAATACATCCTAGTGACCATAAATCAGCATTATAGTCATAAGGATATTCTTCTATTAATTCAGGTGCCATATATAATGGTGTACCCTTTATTGAGGTTAATACATGAGTTCCTGTACTCATACTTCGTGCAAAACCAAAATCACATAACTTTGCTGTACCATTTGTTTCCAAAAGAACATTCTGTGGTTTTAAATCTCTGTAAAAAAATTAATAATCACTTATATGATTTGTTAATGCATTACTCATAAAACAACAAATAGTAGTTGGTTGAATAACTTTCATTAATAAAAAAAATAACCTGTGTAAAACACGATTGGAATGTAAATAGTATAAAGCAGAAATTAGATCACAAACAATTGCTCGAGTACGTTCTTCCGTAAATCTTCCTGTTTTATCTAAAATTTCGTATAGCTCTTTATCAGCATATTCTGTTACAACAACGATCTAGAAACAATAAAATAAATAAATATATTTCTTTCAATACTTATAGTATAAATTAAAACACATTACTTCATTTTCAGTTTCAAAGGAATCAATCATTTGAACAATATTAGGATGATGAAGATATCTTTGAATTTTACATTCTTGCCTTAAACTTTTTAGTTCTTTGTGTGAGCGCCCACACTATAAATAAACAGATGTTATGTGCGAATTTTAAATAATTATTGTCATCTAGTAATTATCGAAGTAATTGGTTTACCTTTCTAATTACTTTCAATGCAACAATTTCATTATTACATCTTTTTTTGGCTTTAAAAACTTGACCAAATGAGCCCTCACCAACTTGACTTAAAACTTTATACTTCTCCATAAGTAAAAGTTTTATTAACAGATACCTTCTTTACGTTCAATAGTGAGTTATAAAAAACATAAATTTATCTAATTCTAAAGAACTTTTTTTTCAGATTGATTTCACTAAATTAATATGAACATTGTTTATTGAGGCTGGACTGAAGTCAGAAAATTTCCCGAAGTTGACTGTACGCCCTCGTGTTGTGCGGCAAAAGACCGAAGCTTGACATCAACTGAAATTGAGTAGGTAACAATGAAATCGTTCGAAAAATGATAATTTTCAGGGATGCACTACAAAAAGGGAGCCTTAGGGCACCAAGAAATTTACAAATTTTAAGGCTGGGCTGAAGTCAGAAAGGCGACTGATTCCCCCTATCCAAATACATGGGATCGGGATATTTCTAATTTCTTCGCCAATTTACGATTATTTCTATAAAATTAGGTACCAAATTACAGAGGAATTAATGCCGGACTGACGTAAACAACAATTTTTTGTATATAGTGAATATTTTTGTTAAAAAAATTAGAAAGAATAATGAAAAAATTATGAATTGACTTACCGCGCTTAAATTTCAAGATGGCGGCCACATCATTCAGATGAAAAATCACTAATTATTTCATTTTTATACGTTTTTCGCCCAAAATTCGTGTTTGCGTTAGTCCTTGCCATCTGTCTAAATGTCAAAAAAATCAATTCATAGTATAAAATCAAGAGACACGTTTATTTTAGTAGTGCACTGACAGAAAAAATGTGATAGCTAGAAAGTATACTAGCGGCAAACACAAAATATACTCAATTTGAGTATAATTATTTTTTGATGCAAGTACATTTTATATCAAAATGAAGTTTAAAGTGTACTGTACAATCATAATAACATTAACTTGATTTTAAATTTTTCATCACTCAATCCTAATATAATATTAATTTATACCAAGAATAGCGATTACTGCATTTTTGTAAATATTTTGCTTATCTCAAGTAGGTAGATAATAAAAGAAGATTACAAAGTTTACTTCAGTTGATAATATAGTTTTCTTACACTGAGGATCTTCCTTACTTACCACAAGTGTATTTTATACGGAGATCCCGTATAAAGCGTACTTATGCTAAGTATAATGCTGTTTTACACTTCAAAAACCATGTTCTCACATTATGAATCCTTTTTTATTAATAAGAAAATACTTGTTACTTGATTCAAGTATGTCAATTCTTCACTGCAAGTATATTATATACTTAAATTAAGTATACGAAGTACTCATGCTAAAATTTTTTTCTTATTAAATTTAAAAATTTCAAAATATAAATAATCATATTAATAATAAAAAAGTTACTGTTATACCCATTGGTATTGGTCAATTTAAATTAGTGACCATTACTGATGAAGTAATTTAATGATTAAATATTCAGTAATTAATAAATAGATGAAAAGTAATCTTATAATAATTACAACAATTACTGTTGTACTTTTAAATACGTGGAGCTGCTACACTTACACTGGGCCTGTTAAAAGTCTAACTCGTAATATAGCGCTCAGAGATAAATTATTGATTATAGAATCTTTAATAATAATTAATAATTAATTGCATGTCTATTAATTAATTCTAAAAATGAATCGAAATTTTACAGTGATTGGAACGATTATTGTGGTACATTTCAATACCTCAAGCTGCTGCAGTAAGACATGTTAGGAGCTTTAGGAGTTTATCTTTCAATCCAGCGTTCAGCTATAAATGGCTTAATGTTAAATCTTTAATAATCATAATAAAATTATTTAATGTTCATTGATTAATTTAGAGAAAGAATCATAATTGAATGATAATAACAACAAATTGGTGTTGTGCTTTTAAAAACTCCAAGTTGCTCCAGTTAGACTATGCCTGTAGAGTGTTTATTTTCCAACTTAGCGCTCAGAAATAAATTATTCGATATAATACCTTTGATGATGATAAATAAATGATTGATTGTATAATTATTAATTCATAGAGATAATCATAATTTTTTCATAAGTGCAACAAATATTGTTGCATATTTCAATATCTCGAGCTGCTGCCCAGTGTAAGTGTAGCAGCTCCACGTATTTAAAAGTACAACAGTAATTGTTGTAATTATTATAAGATTACTTTTCATCTATTTATTAATTACTGAATATTTAATCATTAAATTACTTCATCAGTAATGGTCACTAATTTAAATTGACCAATACCAATGGGTATAACAGTAACTTTTTTATTATTAATATGATTATTTATATTTTGAAATTTTTAAATTTAATAAGAAAAAAATTTTAGCATGAGTACTTCGTATACTTAATTTAAGTATATAATATACTTGCAGTGAAGAATTGACATACTTGAATCAAGTAACAAGTATTTTCTTATTAATAAAAAAGGATTCATAATGTGAGAACATGGTTTTTGAAGTGTAAAACAGCATTATACTTAGCATAAGTACGCTTTATACGGGATCTCCGTATAAAATACACTTGTGGTAAGTAAGGAAGATCCTCAGTGTAAGAAAACTATATTATCAACTGAAGTAAACTTTGTAATCTTCTTTTATTATCTACCTACTTGAGATAAACAAAATACATTGGCTCACATTATACTGATTCCAAGTAGAAAGACTACTTAAATACAAGTACTTTATTTTCATAAAACTTGTATACTTATTACTTCTTCAACCGCTTGTAGTCTACTCAGGAGTGGTATATTCTGTATTTAGACTCAGTATTTTTTTTATTCATTTTAAAACGAAGTTTTACTGATTCCAGGTACTTTCTTTACCTGCCTTCCGAAACTTTTTTACCTATCACTTTTATACTGGGGACAAGTAAATTCTATAATTCGCCACCGGAAAAAATTTCTGTCAGTGTAACTAAAAAAATAGAATTGTTGCGTCAAAATAATGCAAAAATTGATGCTATAGATGCAGCAGGTCGAACTCCATTTCTTTCAGCTTGTGATTCTGGCAATCTTGAAGCAGTCAAATATCCAATAAATAATAATGCTAATATTCATCCTACTGATTCAGAAAAATAATTTATACGATGTTTTTGTGTTTCCAATTTGAAAAGACATTAAGAGATTTGTATTTAAAATGACATCAGTACATATGTCAGATGTTTATACTCTTGTAATGTTTTTATGGTATAAATTATAACGAAAATAAAAATGCAGTTTTCAATGATTTATTGTAATCTAATTTTTTTCAAAAAAACTTTTTTTAAAGAAAAATCAATAAAATATTAAGTTTGTGAGTTTAGATTTTTAATACTTTCAATGTCTATCATTTTTCCTGCTAGAAATTTCAAATATTTGTTAACACCTCAGAGAGGTGAATTTCTCTCTTATGAATCCTACGCTCACAGATGGTATGATAGTTTGCTGTCTTTAAAAAGGTTTATACAAAAATATTGTTAAAATATTGATGCAAAAGAATGTGACATTATTGGATTATTAATTGTCTACAAATCATATGTCTGAAATAAGTAAACGTGGTCTGACAATGGTTTTGTTGCGGACTGAATGCGATGATAGTTTTTTATTGCACATCAACGTTGCTTCTAGAAATAAAATAAAATTATTTGTAGTGAATCAACATCTCAAATTATTAAAAAAAAAATTTACTTTTTTGAGTTGAATTCATTATGTCGACTTATTCAAGACAGAAAAAGAAATCTACGTACAAATAATCAAATCCGATGAAATTAGTTTGAATCACACTTTTTGCTGTGGATTCGGTAGATGAGATGGATAGCAAATGATGAAGTAAATGTGGTCCAATTCGAACAAGAACTAATCTAATTAAACCATCTTCAGTTTCTGCTTGCGAAGAGATCTTAGAAATTTTTACTTGATGCCACTTCAACATATAACTGTATGGATAGAGTTTTGAAGAAAAGATTCCATAGAAATATTCCCGCAAATAAGACTGAAAACTTTACTTTCGATCCGTTAATCGTCATCAAAATATATTAATGATAATAAATTGCCAATACCATCTGTTTATGTAGGATTTGCATTCGTTTTAGTTCTCTCAATTTCAATTTAGACAGAGAAAAGACTTTTCTCCGATAACTAACTATGTATGATAAATTTAAACAAATTATTTAAATATTACATAATTATCATAGAAAATTAATACAATTTATGCACGATTTTACTGAATGTTCACAGTTCATATAAAAGATAGGTAATTAAATTTTTACAATTTGTTATTATGTATACTTTAAAAAATATGGGAAATTGACTATTAAAATCTCTAAATTAATAACATATTATTTAATATTGTAAAAAAAAATTATTGTATACATGTTATAAGAAATGTATTTTCTCTATAATTTATATAAAATACATTGGATAAAAATTATATTTTGATATTTTCAATGTTATGTTATTCCTAAAAATAATATAACAGTCATAGAAAGTAGTACTTATAAGCTAGATAATATAAGTTATTAAAATACCTAATAATTTAACATTAATATAAAATTTAAGTATACTTTAATCATTTTTAATTTCATTCAAACATTGTTCAATTCCTCCAAAAATAGGATTATTAATAATATAATTAATACTCTTGCTATAATAATGTTTAATTTTGTGTTTACTATCAATTTTTTTCTATACAAAAAGTAAATTCAATTTTTTTTATATTTTTAATCATGTATTTAAATATACCGGGAATTTCCCCCTCTACCTCGGTAACTTAGCGACCACAGCGCACTCTGCCCGCGAACGTTATTTTTTCAAAATTCCAGCTCAACTTTCATACACAGAGTTTGGACTTCTGTTCTATAGTCTTCATGCTTTCTGACTTCAGCCCAGCCTTAAAAGAGGAGCCTTAGGGCACCACGAAATTCACAAATTTTTGAATCATCTAATCCGAGCAATAACTGTACTAAAAAAGAGTTTATGGCCCTGTTCAAATGTCTTCTCTCTTAGCGTCCATTAATAAAAAGAATTATTAAAAAAAAAAAAAAACTTGAATTCTTATTAAGAATCAATTTTGGCTTATTAAAATTATAATTTCATTCAATTTTATTAAAAAAAAGAAAAAAAATTGGCTCGGCAAAATAACAGTCTGGTTCTTAGACTACGAAGCCAGCACACCTTTAATTAAATATTCATATTTATTCATCTTAAACTACATGCTTCGATCCGTAGACTTGGAATTGAGCTCGTTTGTTAACATTTATACTTGATAGAAATGATAATAATGGATGAATACATTTATTTTAAGTTATTTTCAGGTATTATATTAATTAATGTTAAATAAGTATCATCATTTTCATTTATTTGAACTGCAATAGTCATCAAAGTGTAGGGCATTGTAAAGTGACACACTCTATTTACATTACATACATGATTACCCGTACACACACATACACAAATTACTCACCAAAATGCTATCTGTCAGAATTATTTAAACTAATTTCCAATGATTATAATCCCAAATCGTAGTTTTCTAATTTCTTCGTAATTATCCAATTTTCTCACCTGAAATAATTGTTTTTATGCTTAAAAATGTTGCAAGAATTGCGCTAGACAATATTTAGGAGCTGAAATTAGATAGAAAATAAATAACTTACGATTTCTTTTTATAACATTGTAGCGGCCATCTTGGAATTGAAGCGCGGTAAATCAATTCATAATTATTCAATTTTCTTTTTAATTTTTTTATTAAAAAAATCAATTGGATAATCAAAATTACTATTTAGCGCACTGCATCAAAACAAGCTTTAATTTGGGACCAAAATTTTCAAGTAAAAATATAAATTGGCAAACAAATTAGAAAACTACGATCCTATGTATTTGGGTAGGGGGGGTGCCATAGAAGGTCCCGAATGCAACAAATGCCTACGACTTGATTTTGTACTACGGTAAAATTTCCGAGATCTTAATATGTATATTTCAGGTTGTATATTAACAATTATTAACAGCATTCATTAATGATGAATGACAATAGAGTCAATTATTTTATTGAATAATATTATTATTTTATATTATATTAAATAAATAAATTGATGAATAAATAATGGTAATTTTTTGTAAATGTCACAATGTACTGACGCCAACGCCCTCTGTATTTCTGCAGTTGATAAAGAAGATTTTCTCTCGGCTCATATCATAAGTAAATATATGTTCGAACATAAAATTCAAACAATAGAAAATAACTGAATTAAATTAAATAAAAAATTAGACTGAATTGTTTATATGCAGAAAAAATAGATTGTTAAATAAATAAATTAATCTGATTTAATTTCTAACTATGTAAAAAATGTTTTGGTTTTAATTGAGTAACTAAGTTATAATTTTCACAGGTATTAAGGACTCGCTCAATTTTTGAATCAATTTTCTAAATATACAAAGTCAATTAAAATGAAGTGAAGAAATTTATTTATAGATTAATCTAACAGACTTACTGACACATCAATGCTAAGATCTATTGTTTTCAATTTATCAGCTTTATCTCGTATGTTATATCGATGATTAATACCAACTGGTGCATCTTTATTCTTTTTTTCTAACTCTGTTAAAACTAGAGCGAAATAATTGTTTTTTATAATTATCATTATTATGCATAGCAAAATTTAAATACTAATTAAAGAAGTATACGATGAGAAAATGTGAGCTTTTTTTGGAACCATGTTAGAATAGCTTCATTACTATTTCTGCCTGAAGATTATCATACGATAATTTATTTCCTTTTCAATTCAAGTGTGGAATGAACGATAATAATTTTTATCATAAATTTTTCTTTGAAGCATTATTTTTTATTATACCAAAGGGTATATCGATACACAATAATAAAAAAAAAAATATTCATTCACTCACACGTTGATATTTATTTTATTAGAATTATTACCATGACGATAACTCGTAATCAACAAATTTGATTACTTTCAAGCATTCTCATGAGATCACTCCATTATGTAAAAAAATTTTTTTTTCCATTTATGTCTGTGCATATCATTAAAAATATAAAATAACTATAAATCAGTTATTTGTACATTTAGAATTAAGAATGTAGTCTCCTCATACATAATATCATCATTCCACATTCATCGTCTTATCCTGTTACATAATTTTCAATTTTAATTAAAATATAACGCGTGTACAATGCTATATGATTTCTAGAACAATTATTACTTAATAATATTCAAAGTCAAACATGAACTTCCTCTTTCTCTTAGAAAATGAAATCTTAATCAAATTAAATTTAGTTATTTTTTTTTTTAATTTTACGTAGAAAAAACTTAACTTTTCAAGTGGAACAATCTTACATACTATATCTTGTTTTTTAAATATGTCACACAGTTTAAAATCAAATTTTGTAGAGTTAACTATTCAGCATTGTTAATATTATTCACTCAATTAACTATAGCATTTCCAAATATTTGTTTTAAAACAATCATTGATAATATTTAAAGTTAAACTGAACTTTTTCTTTCGTTTTGTTTAAAAAAAATATGAAATTTTAATGAAATTAAATTTGGTTGTTTTTTTTTTTTTGATTTTTAGTAGAAAAAACTTAATTTTTTAGACGAAACAAACTTACGTACTATGCCTTGTTCTTTAAATATTTAATTCAGTTCAAAATTAAATTATGTAACTTTAATTCTTTAAATTATAGTCTAAAAAAAGATAAAGATAACTTATATTATTTAGAATCTTTATAATATTATAGTTATAGTCTTCATAACAATAACTTTATAGTCATCTTTACATTAAAAAAAAATTTTACGAAGATACTTAAACGATAGGAATTATATCTTCAATGATTCCTCGGCACAAAGGACATCTTACTTGTTCACGATCTGCTTCTGCCAGTACATCGATTATATCATAGCAGTCTTCACATAGAGCTGCATGTCCACATGGTTGAAGCTCGATCAAAACATTGTTTCTCTCGCATGCTTGACATATGTTTGCTTCCTCCATTGGTTGATCTGTAATATAATTTTAACATATATGTCTTAATTTAACTATATAGTTTAACAACATCTATACATACATAATTTTATAAGTATTTTGAATCAAGAAGTAAAGAGAATAGATAGAATAGATAAAATCTGACCGAGTGCTAAGTAAGAAATGAAGAGAACATAGCACGCATAAGTTTTTGTAGATCGAGAAAAAGAAGATAGATCCAGAGTCATTAAAATCTGTAATAAAGATAGAATTTTCTATAATTACGAGTCAATCAATTTTTTTTTCAACAATAAATGCACTTTTTACCATCATTATCCTGGTCCTCTCCAATGTGATTGTTTCGGCGACGTGCTGGTAGATTGTCTAAGACTCTGTCTTCAAAAAGATCGTTGTTTGGCTCATACTCATAAGCTGGTAGCTCGCCAACTATAATTATGCAATTGTCGTCATTATTTATATGTATATAAATTTGTATTAGTATACTCACCATTTTCATCATTGACCAATTTGACAAGTGTGAAATTCGGATCAATTTCAACGTCATTATAAAGATAATTGTTTACCGAAGGACTGACAACATTTAATGCGAATTTCAAAAATTCATGAACATTTATTCTGTTATTGTCAAAATACCACCAAATTTCTCTTAATCTTGATTTGTTCACCGATGACCTTATTCGTGGAGTCCAACTTAAGGGCTTATTTTGGTCAATATTTGCTATTTCTCGATGAGATTTGGCATACCACTTTAATAACTTTTTAGTAAAGTTCCATATATCCATACGATTCTTCAGCATAGCAGTTATTTTCCTCCAGTTTGTGCAACATGTGTCAGCAAGTGACGCAATGTTATTGCAAGCATAATTTTGAACTCCTACTCCATAGATCCACTTCTCATAATAGTAGCGAATAAAGGGTTCAAAACCACCTCTTATAATCTCATTTGGAATCGCGTGATATAAATCAAGAAATGCTCTTTAGATATTATCTGCTGGTAATAAACTCAAACAGATAAATTTTGTTACTAGTAGACGATGATTTCTATCTCTCAAGTTGATTCCTTGGGTGTTTTTTGCTTGAGCTAATAAAATTTCGCAATGAGAAGTAAAAAGTCCGTGAATAGAACTAATAGGAAATTCTCTAGATAACGAGCGATGGAGTTTTTCATCGAAGTTGTAGTAAATTACATGAGGAATGACATCGTTTTCTATCAAATTTGACTCTATTTCACTGACGAGATTGTTATAGGTACGATCATTATTGTCAGCTATGAAATTCCAAGAGATTGGGAAGCTCTAAAAAAATTTGAAATTTTAATTTATAATTAGAACGATATTACAAAGCTATAAATTTATAAAGAAAATTTTTATTGATCAGATACTTACATAATTATTCAATTTAATATTCCACGAAATAGTCCTTTGTATGCCCATTTCTCCAGGTATGATTCTGTGACTACAGTCAACATATAAAGATATTGCATCGGCATTTACTTTGGTAAGAATTTTTCTGGTTAATTCATTGTCGAAAAAGCTGCACGATACTACATCTTCATGAATCCTTTCGAAATTGACGCTCATTAGCCCTTGATCGTGTATTGTGAGTTGTTGATATCTTCGCACTCTCAGAACCGCATCAAATACTCGTAATGACGGTGCCCTTGGAATCCTCGCGTTACGTTGCCAACAATACATGTTTTTCTTTACGACTCTATATGGTAGTAATAGAGCAGCTTCTCTATGCCTACATTAATGAATAGATATATAAAAGAAAAGATTTTTATAAATAAATATACACTGACAAAAATGAATTGTAAAATGGCATAACACGTGCACACATGTCATGGGCAAAACCATGAACATTTATAAAATTTTTAATAAATTTTTACAATTCATTTTCTTCAGGGCATATTGACTTCATTAATGCCTATTAGAAAAGAAAAAAATATATCAAATTATCTGTATATAGAGTACACATATACACAAAAAAACTAAACTAATTTTAAGGAACATGAGAACAAACTTCAATAAATGTTTACCAATTTTATATAGTCAACACAAAAAAAAAAACTTACAAAATCGAAAGTCGATTATAGATACTCCTAGTATCTGCTAGTTGTGTGAAACATGCAGTACGTAACAAATCTATAAACGCGTTCATTAGAAGAAGATTTTCATCTGCAGGATGGTTGTGACGAGTAGTTTCTACGAAACGAAGATTTAACACATATCCTTTTCTTTCACAATAATGACTTCTAAATAATTTGCAGCGAAGTAATCTACGAGAATAAACAATATCGTATTACTAGTCAATGTAAACAACTGTTGGACTTGCACACATGTACGTGTTTTACGTATCATTCAAAATACATCAAACGCACACTTGTGTAGGGAATATGCTTATTGAACAAAAATACTGAAAAAGGTTAAAACGATTAACGAAAAAACTACAATTTTACGATAGTTACGAAATAATCTTCGAGAATAAAAAACATTTTATTAGTCAATATAAACAATTGTTGGACTCGCACACATATACGTCTTTTACGCAGCGTTCAACATGCGTAAAATTCGCGGGTATGGAATGTAGCGTTCTATGCACGTAAAATGCGCACATGTGTAATAATATGATTATTGAACAAAGACATTGAAAAAGTTTGAAATAATTAACAAAAAAAACTTTCTAATTTTACGATAATTTACTTTAGACCGATTGAAAAAGAAATATTTGTCTTAAAAATCACTGAATAATGGCTGCTGATGTTCCGACTTTGCATTTATTTCTCTCATAAAACTATTGCTAATGATAAATAATTATAAATCTTACCTTTTATTTCTTTGATCTCGATATTTTATGAAAGAATAACCATTGAACGTCCGGTCGAGAAGTCGTTGTATGTTTATTCGACGTGATGGCATTCTTATAATAGTTATAACAAAAAAAATATTACACCGATATGAACTTAATGAAAGCACTCTCTGTACTGATTCAAACTGATGTTTGGCGCTTAAACCAAATCCTAGACAAAGGGTGACGTTACACATACCAATGGGGGCCTTATACGTACATTATCACACTCTTATTAAATAAGTGTGTTAGTCGCGTGTACGCATAATTTTGCCATTAAGTTTTCATTTTTTAATTGAGATGTCACCACGAGTGGGTACATTTGATTATTGGCGCTCTCCTGGTGAAGGAGAAAGTTCCAGAAAAAAAATTTGATTATTGGCAGAACGTTTATTGGGAGTACGTGCGTTTTGAAATCTATAGACAGAGCTTTGTTTAATTTAGTGAATAAAATTGTAATTTTTATTTGATAATTTTTTGTAATAGTAATATTTAATATTGATAATAAAAAATAGCAGACATATCAGATGTGTTGAAGAAGATTATAAGACAAAGTGTGGCGTAGTATTTCTAAAGTAAAAAAAAGAGTAGAGTAAAGTAGTATCCCATTTTCTTCAAGATAATTGATTCATTGAATAGGAAAAAAACAACAACTTGCTTTACAGGTGCATACAAATATAGTGTCGATTGAGAATGAAAATCAAGTGACTTAAAGGGGAAAAAAAACGTGGCTATACAACAAACAATACTTTTTGTGTGATCAACAATTGTGTGAAAGCAGTGATTCGATTATTGGACTAGTTTATCGCGCGTGCGAAAAAATGCGTAATGCTACAAAAGCAGGGCAGTGAAGTACGAAGTTATTCGATTATTGGATCGCCTTAGTAGTCATAACATCAGCGTACTAGATTGACATCTGGTGGGTCGTGGATTAGAATCTCGAACTAAAAAAATATCTAAAGTGAGATGAGTGAATGATTTCATTAAAAGAAAAAAACATTCAGTTATTGGACAATTAAAATTGCAAGTGGTACCACAAGACTCAAACTCTAACTATTTTTTCCTGATTAACAAATGATTTTGAGTGATGTACCTGAAGTTTCGAACGTTCAATGAACGAAAATTAAAAAAGCCTAAATAGGCCCAACAAAGTAGTCAATAGAAAAGATACATAACGTACAAAACAAAGAAACAAAAAAAAACAATCCCCACCCATCGGAAACAACCCCTTCCCTTTTTTTATCCGGGTTAAAGAGCCACAAACGTAATAATTATTCATTCGAACTTGAATCAATTTGTTTACTTACTTTGCCATAATAAAAATATTTTTTATAAATTTTGCTGACTTCTTTGGAGTCAGAACTAATATAAAAAACAATCCCCACCCATCGGAAACAACCCCTTTTTATTTTTTATCCGGGTTAAAGAGCCACAAACGTGATAATTATTCATTCGAACTTGAATCAATTTGTTTACTTACTTTGCCATAATAAAAATATTTTTTATAAATTTTGCTGACTACTTTGGAGTCAGAACTAATATAAAAAACAATCCCCACCCATCGGAAACAACCCCTTTTTATTTTTTATCCGGGTTAAAGAGCCACAAACGTAATAATTATTCATTCGAACTTGAATCAATACGGCCACAATACGGCTATTTACTCGAATAAAAAATAAAAAAGGGTTGTTTCCGATGGGTGGGGATTGTTTTTTATATTAGTTTCGACTCCAAAGAAGTCAGCAAAATTTATAAAAAATATTTTTATTATGGCAAAGTAAGTAAACAAATTGATTCAAGTTCGAATGAATAATTATCACGTTTGTGGCTCTTTAACTCGGATAAAAAATAAAAAGGGGTTGTTTCCGATGGGTGGGGATTGTTTTTTATATTAGTTCTGACTCCAAAGAAGTCAGCAAAATTTATAAAAAATATTTTTATTATGGCAAAGTAAGTAAACAAATTGATTCAAGTTCGAATGAATAATTATTACGTTTGTGGCTCTTTAACCCGGATAAAAAAAGGGAAGGGGTTGTTTCCGATGGGTGGGGATTGTTTTTTTTTGTTTCTTTGTTTTGTACGTTATGTATCTTTTCTATTGACTACTTTGTTGGGCCTATTTAGGCTTTTTTAATTTTCGTTCATTGAACGTTCGAAACTTCAGGTACATCACTCAAAATCATTTGTTAATCAGGAAAAAATAGTTAGAGTTTGAGTCTTGTGGTACCACTTGCAATTTTAATTGTCCAATAACTGAATGTTTTTTTCTTTTAATGAAATCATTCACTCATCTCACTTTAGATATTTTTTTAGTTCGAGATTCTAATCCACGACCCACCAGATGTCAATCTAGTACGCTGATGTTATGACTACTAAGGCGATCCAATAATCGAATAACTTCGTACTTCACTGCCCTGCTTTTGTAGCATTACGCATTTTTTCGCACGCGCGATAAACTAGTCCAATAATCGAATCACTGCTTTCACACAATTGTTGATCACACAAAAAGTATTGTTTGTTGTATAGCCACGTTTTTTTTCCCCTTTAAGTCACTTGATTTTCATTCTCAATCGACACTATATTTGTATGCACCTGTAAAGCAAGTTGTTGTTTTTTTCCTATTCAATGAATCAATTATCTTGAAGAAAATGGGATACTACTTTACTCTACTCTTTTTTTTACTTTAGAAATACTACGCCA